GTCAATTTTAAATTTTTAGTTTAGATATGATAATTTGATTTCTACGATAAGTAAAATTGATTTTAAACAATATATTATAATAAAATTTTAAGATTAAGTTTTATAAAATTAAATCTTAGTAAATATTTAAATATTTAATAATTTTAAATATTCAATAATTAAAAAAATTATTGGCATTTTTTATGTCAACTTTGGAAGAGATGAGAGGAAAGCAAGAGAGAGAAAAAAAATCAAATTCTTACTTTTTTTAGAAGAATTTAAAATTCTACAATTTTAATGAATTTTATAAATACTTAAATTTATTTATTTATTTTTCGTAAATTATTTGATTTTTTTTACTCAAATAATACTATTTTAAAAAAAATTTACCCAAATAATGACTGTGCAAATTTATTTCCCCAACTAGCATCATTTACTGTTCACGTTTCGGAACGAACAGTTCTGAAATCAAAATGGGCCGTTCCGGATTAAAAAATAATACATGGAAAACAAATAAGAACGGGTCATTCTAAAATCAAAATTAGCACATAAAAAGTGGATAATTAAATATATTTTTTTCGATTTTTACTTATCAAATACCAAAACTCAGAAACTAACATCAAATAATTAAATTTATTGAATATTAACATTATAAATATATCTAAATAAATTTATTAAAATTCAATACAACAATAAAGATCAATGGTGGCAGAAATTGATTATGTTATTCTCTAATGTCCATCTCTGTTTTAATCCTACTAGACTTTGACTGACCCTTGAAAGTTTGCTTGAGTTCTGGAGTTTTCCACAAAGTTGGACCAGTGTAAGTAGGCTAATAATCTTCATGTCAGAGCTCTCCAAACTATCATTCGTATACCTTTCTAGAACTTGCCGCAATCATACCACATTTCATTTAACCTTACTATAAATCTCCCAACGGGTCAAACTTTTCTCGGATGTAATCTTCATGTCGAAGCTCTCCAAGCTGTCCTTCGTATACCTTTCTAGAACTTGCCGCAATCATACCACATTTCATTTAGCCTTACTGTAAATCTCCCAGCAGGTCAAACTTTTCTCGGATGTAATCTTCATGTTGGAGTTCTCCAAACTGTCCTTCGTATACCTTTCCCGAACTTGTCACAATCATACCACATTTTATTTAGCCTTACTGTAAATCTCCCAACGGGTCAAACATTTCATTTGGGGAGCTTCGACATGAAGATTATTAGCCTACTTACACTAGTCAAACTTTGTGGCCAAATCCAGAACTCAAGCAAACTTTCAAGGGTCGGCCAAAGTCCAGCCGGATTAAAACAAAAATAGACATTAGAGAACAACATAATCAGTTTCTGCCACCATTGATCTTTATTGTTGTATTGAATTTTAATAAATTTATTTAGATATATTTATAATGTTAATATTCAATAAATTTAATTATTTGATGTTAGTTTCTGAGTTTTGGCATTTGATAAGTGAAAATAAAATAAAAATTATTTGTAGGTCAGAACGGGTAGTTCTAGTTTCACTTTTTATGTGCTAATTTTGATTTTGGAACAACCCATTCTAATTTATTTCTCATGTGTTATTTTTTAATCCGGAACGGTCCGTTCTGATTTCAGAACGGCCTTTTCCGAACGTGAACAGTAATTGGTGCTAGTTGGAGAAATAAATTTGCACAGTTTCTATTTGGGTAAAATTTTTTAAAATAGCATTATTTGAGTAAAAAACGCAAATTATTCATCTAAAAAAAGTATTTCACTAAAAAATATTTGAAATTCTATGAAAAAAATTGAATTGCTACCTCTATTTCTATTTATAAGATTCAACTTATAATTATTTGTTCCTTTATATAAGACACAATTCATATTGTATCATATAATAATTATTTTTAAACTAAAATACTCCTTATTAAATAGTGATATCTTAATTTGGTAAAATACATTAGTTATACACTCTTTAAAGAGTATCCACCCTAATTAGTTAAGAGAAAAATGAGTATTAACTCATAAAGGTAATTAGTATAAGGCATGACTCTAGTTGATTAGAAGATATAAAAAATATTAACTAAAAGAGAGAAGTATAAGAGTAGTTTTGGAGAAAAAAAAATATAACTAAGATAAGTTTATTATTATTATTATTATTATATTATATTTAAATATAAAAATATTTATATAAAAAGATCATTATCTTTTATATTGTTCTGAGTGGACAAAATATCCAGATTGACATGGTGAATGTATAAGAACCAAAGTGTGAAAAATAAAGGTTTCGTTCTTCATAAAGGATATTTTTTTTCCATAACTTTTACCAAATCTCACATCTTATTACTTCTGATGAGCATGCCTAGTTACCCATTTCTTCGAAATAAAATTTGCACATCTCCATTATCACAAAGCAAAAGAGTGAAAAATATACAAGAAAAAAAAACATTTGAATATATCAAAATTACAAGAATTCATAGTAATTGAATAAAAAATAAGGAAACACTCTAAAAGAGAATTTCTGTTTCATCATATTAATGTATAATTATTTATTTATTTATTATTATTGAAACTGATAAGCTAGTTGAAGTTTATCAGTTATAGATTAAGAATTAAAAAATTGAAAGTTTATAGATTAGTTCACTAAATTAAAAATGTTTGGTAAAATTAATTAATAAAATTAAAAAAAAATAGTTACATTATCCAACTAAATTTTTTTTTCCAACGATTTCATTTTGAATCACAACCAAATTATAATTAAAAAGGGTCAATCAATCCATGTGATGCTGTAAGCCTGTAAGCATGCAGAGCTCATGGCATCAACGTCATTGACCAACGTATCCCTCATTGATATTTGCATTCTACGACAAAAATGAGTTTGTTTAAACTGAACCACCGATTAATATCACCGTAAAAGAGTAACATGGGAAATATTCACATAAAAGTCAATTTTTATTTTTTAATGATTCTAAATATATTTAATATTACTACTAAGCGCACACACAAAAATAGAGAAACAAAAACAAACTCAGAAATTAACATGGTTCGGCACTTCTTGTTTACATCTACAAACAACTCATTTTATTTCTCCACTTACAATTTTTACAAGGACAAAATTGCAAACCCTCTCATTCACAAGTTTTCTGGAAAAAACTTGGAAACCTTCATACACAAATTTTCTGGCAAAACTTGAAAACCCTCTCATGACACACAACTACCCAAGTCCCCAATACACCCATTGGAACCAATGTTGTTGTGGTGAGTAGACTCAAAACTATCACCCCTTATTTATAGTAGTAGTCTATCACTTCCCTTCTTCAAACTACCCAATGTGGGACTTTGGAGGATACCCACACACTTTGGGCACAACACAAACTACCCGATGTGAGACTTTGGAGGACACCCACACACTTTGGGCACAACATATCCTCCCTTCATCCAAAGTCTCACATTAATCCATCATCATTCACAAGTTTTCTGGCAAAGCTTGGAAACCCTCCTTCACAAGTTTTTCTGGCAAAACTTGAAAACCATCTCTTCACAAGTTTTTCTGGCAAAACTTGAAAACCCCTTCTCACAAGTTTTTCAGGCAAAACTTGAAAACTCATCTTCACAAGTTTTTCTGGCGAAACTTGGAAACCCCTTCCCACAAGTTTTTCTGGCGAAACTTGGAAACCCCTTCTCACAAGTTTTTCTGGCGAAACTTGAAAACCCTCTCTTCACAAGTTTTTCTGGCAAAACTTGAAAAACCTCCCTTCACAAGTTTTTCTAGCGAAACTTGGAAACCCCTTCTTCACAAGTTTTTCTTCTCACAAGTTTTATGGTAAAACTTGGAAACCCTCCTCCATATGACCTCCTCGCTACACTACTTCTCTTCCTCCCTGGTACACTGCTCCACCATCAAGCTGGTCACCCGATCAAACCATCGGCTCTGATACCACTTGTTGGGAAAAGAAGCCTTCAAACAGCGGAAGCGCACACACAAAAATAGAGAAACAAAAACAAACTCAGAAATTAACGTGGTTCGGCACTTCTTGCTTACATCCACAAACAACTCATTTTATTTCTCCACTTACAATTTTTACAAGGACAAAATTGCAAACCCTCTCATTCACAAGTTTTCTGGAAAAAACTTGGAAACCTTCATACACAAGTTTTCTGGCAAAACTTGAAAACCCTCTCATGACACACAACTACCCAAGTCCCCAATACACCCATTGGAATCAATGTTGTTGTGGTGAGTAGACTCAAAACTATCACCCCTTATTTATAGTAGTAGTCTATCACTTCCCTTCTTCAAAATGTGAGACTTTGGAGGATACCCACACACTTTGGACACAACACAAACTACCCGATGTGGGACTTTGGAGGACACCCACACACTTTGGGCACAACAACTACTACTACTACTACTTTTTTTTTTTGTATTTTGCTTCTTTAATATTTTATTTAAACAAGTGTTAATTCTAATAATTTTAATATACTCAAATATTTTTCTTTTTCGCATATCAATCTTGGTTTTTACATTTTCACAACTCAAATAAAATTTACGGAAATCAAATCCTTTATAATAACCAAAAGAAATTATTAAAGCTAAATTATAAAACCGATATAAAGTTAAATTTAACTAAGCCTCGAATAATAAATAAACAAATCACTTTAAATAAAACTATTTTCTTTAATGTTGTTTTTTAGTTCTTGTTACCCAAAAGAAAAATCAATATTTTCTGAAAACGTGATTTCAAGAAAATTCATTATTCATTTAAACATAAAATGAGCACATACGGTTCGTGGCTTTCGTAGTTCCGTCAGTTGGATACCTTAATTATCATAAATACTCGGATTGCGATCAATAATTGACAAGGAGAACTAATTAGAGATGGACTCACTTTTGGCACAAATAGACAAATATGTATCACTTCAGGATATTTACAATGCATAACTGATTGGACGGAAAAACATTATTTTAATAGAAATATATGAGAAGAAAAAAGTTTTCGTGTTAAAAAGAAAGAGCTTGCACGTCTATATATATGGGTGTGGTATGAGCTTTAAACTCATAGAAGCAAAAATTAAAGCAAAGAGCAAAACGAGTGAAAGAGAGAATAGAAAGAAGAAAAAAAAGAATGGAAGTAGCACAGGTACTGCACATGAACGGAGGCGTTGGAGACGCAAGCTATGCAAACAACTCCTTTGTTCAGGTAAATATATATACTTACAACGTAACATCATGCAATTCGTGTTTAATTCTTTTATAAACCCAATCAAAAAACTTTTGTTTTCCTTATATTGTACATTTGTATGTATATCCTTTTGAATGAGACAAAAAAGAAGTAACTATACTGTGTCATTATATATACATGCAGCAAAAGGTGCTTTGTTTGACAAAGCCCATAAGAGAGGAAGCCATAACAAGCCTCTATTGCAACACACTCCCTAGAAGTTTGGGAATTGCAGATTTAGGTTGCTCTTCTGGACCAAACACTTTGTTTGTGGTTTCAGAATGTATCAAGACTGTGGAGAAGCTTTGCCAACAGCTGAACCATAAATCTCCCGAATACAAGGTCTTTCTCAACGATCTTCCTGGGAATGACTTCAACAACATATTTAAGTCTCTTGACAGCTTCAAAGAGAAATTGTATCATGAAATGGAAAGTAGGGTTGGTCCATGCTACTTCTCTGGGGTTCCCGGTTCTTTCTATGGCAGGGTTTTCCCTAATCGAAGTCTTCATTTTGTTCATTCCTCTTACAGCCTTCAATGGCTATCTAAGGTATATATTTCATTTTTAATTAAATATTTTCTTTTGTTTTGTACGAGACTTTAATATAAATAATTGTTATGTAATATTCTTGGTGATAAATTAGGTTCCTGAGGGTGTAGATAACAACAAGGGCAATATTTACATAAGCAGTACAAGCCCGTCAAATGTTGTGAGAGCATACTACGAACAATTTCAAACAGATTTCTCGCATTTTCTGAAGTGTCGAGCAGAAGAACTTGTTGAAGGAGGTCGTATGGTTCTCACAATTTTGGGAAGAAGAAGCGACGATCCATCTAGTAAGGATGGTTGCTACATTTGGGAGCTTATGGCTAAGGCTCTTAATGATATGGTCTTGGAGGTACACTTTCTGAATATATAAACTAATCCTTGTTTGTTACAACAAACAAAAATCACGAGAAGGGAACTGGAAAACACATGGTGAACCCCTTTTCACAAAAACAAATAAAAATGAAAGCATTCTTTTTGACCACTGTTCTGCCGATTAGATATTACTTATATAAGTAGCTACTCACAGCAACTACATCTTTGGTTTTATCTATAGTTTTTTTTATTTTTCCCTCTTTTAACTAAACTCAATGTTAATTCCTTTTTTGTTGACACAAATAAATTTGGCAAGATATATGCATGAACACAAATCCTTTTACTATATGCCGCAGGGAATCATAAAGGAAGAACAATTGGATACTTTTAACATCCCTCAATACCATCCATCCCCATCTGAAGTGAAATTAGAAGTTTTTAAAGAAGGATCTTTCGTCATGAATCGTCTAGAGGTATCAGAAGTGAACTGGAACCGGAATGCCATTGATGATTGGAACAGTACTCGTGACTTTGAATTTGAAAGGCCTTATGAATCGCTTGGTGATGGAGGGTACAATATGGCACGATGCATGAGGGCTGTGACAGAACCAATGCTGATTAGCCACTTTGGAGAAGCTATCATTGCAGAGCTTTTTAGCCGATACCGACAAATCTTGACTGATTGTATGTCCAAGGAGAAAACTGAGTTTATCAATGTTACCATATTATTGACTCGAAATGCATAAGCAAGAAGTTTGCATCTATGGTATTTCAGAAAGATTGTCGTAATAATTTGATATAATTGTTTGTTTGCTTTTTTATTTTCTCTAGTAATTAATTAGAAAAATGTTAAGATGAAGGAAAAAAAAAAGCTGAGAGTATTGTGTATTACCTTCTTTATATTAGCTTTTTCTTATATGTTCTCAATTTTGTGTTCACTTGTCAAGCATTGATTAAACTCAAAAACACTACATCTTGAATACTATCCTACAAAATCATAATTAGAAAATGACACAAATATATATATATATATAAGGGTTCAAACGACACCGGTGTAACTTTTATTAAGTGTTACACCACTCAATAACTTTATATTAAATATGAATTTTGAAAATTCAACCGTTAGATTAAAAGTTCATATCTCTTAGATCATATATATCAAATTTTATATTAATCTAAAATGATTTGATACTTCATTCTCATAAAACAAAATTGACGTAATATATACATTTCAAAATATACTAAAATATGAACACTTTGATTATCTTCAAGTTGTTGTTCAATTTTAACAAAATTTGACATATATGATCTAAGAGATATGAACTTTC